ATACATAGATAACAATAGACAAAAGGTGATTTGCTATATATTCATCCTTTGTTTCATGTCAAGTCCATCTGCAGATTTCCAGATAAAGCTCCAGCACAAATTAGCATCGTCTGGAAGTTGTGATGGTAGGAGAGCAAAAAGCTTTTTTCTGACATTATTCCTAAACCTCTAGATTCTCCTAATTGTTGCTCTTTAGACTTGGAGGCCTCACAGTGGCATTTTTAGCCTCTTTTGTCTTCCTGCGTGCCATCATGATTTCCAGTGAAAGACGCTTTATGACATGCTTCTAAAGTCCTGAATAGCTGATGTACGAAGTGTGGACCCAGTCAAATAACTTACCAGGAACAAACATTAAATGCACGGTGCGTGTTGGTTTCCATCCCTGCGCCTTCAGCCTTCTGACCGCCTGAATGTACCTACACAGACAACAAATACCCAACTCAGCACGCATTACGACAAAGAAACCATCTGAATAGACAAGAGAGCAGGTTGAGTGATTAAACAAGTTGTTCTCACACGTTAAGATCGCAACAACACTAGAGTGAAAATTCTGCTTAACAAGAGAAGCTATTAAGGCAGTTTTCATTTTTATACCTACTGTATAGTCACACATTTCATGTCCTGAGATCCACGGGCAAAAATGTTACCCTCAGCATCTTTCATAGCACTGAAAGCATCGCATTTCCAGTGCTCCTGGAGAAGAGATTTATACCAAGTCTATTCTTTACTCATCTGTTTCAGGCAACAACAGGACAGTAACTCTCAAAACCGAGGTCAAGCTCGTACCTGGTAAACAGGTACAACATCTGTGTGGGAGTTCAGTAAGACGGACTTTAGGGTGGGTTTCGTCCCTGTCCATGTCATGATAGACACAACTCTGCCTGGACAGACCTGAGAGCAGACGGACGGGTGAATTACGAAACATCTGTCGCAAGCTCACAGATTGCTTGCATCTGATCATCACCTCAATCTTTTTCATGGGAAGCTCCAGCTCCTTGGCTATTCTGTCCAAGAACCTGAGAGCAGAATCTACAAATGGAGAAAAAAGGGAAAAAAAACACACAGCTGGTTTAAACATCAACAGATATGTTCAAATTCTCTGGCATTAATCTTTTTGTTGTTGGTTATTTGCTGCTGTGGAATATATTAATTTAAAAACTAATACAGAAACCAGTTAAGTTGTAACACTTCTGCATGTTTCAGAGGCTTCTACATCTTAAAAAGAGGAAATGAGAGTGTCCAGAAGAAATACGCTGAAACAAAGTTTCTCAAGCTGATTTTCCTGTTTAAAAAAATAAATAAAGAGCAAAATTGGTCAAATTGAGTGTCTTGACATTGTGTTTTTGAGACAGGGAAGTTAGTTTTTCTTTGAGTTTTTTTTTGTGTTGCTGCGATTTTTGTTCACAAAACTGAGACAGCAAAAGGGAAACAGCATGGAAATAATGCATGGAGTAAAGCCTGAACCCCAGACAGCAGATTGAAAACAAACATCCTCCGTATCTGAGGCCACCGCTTTACTCCAGCTTGGCGAAGAAATAGCACTAAAGAAAGAGCGCCTCCTAGAGTTGCAGTAAAAGATACAAACAGACAAATGTTTTGTTTCACTTTGTCGCTGACTTTTTTATTATTACCTTAAAAAAACTTTTACATTCAAGCTTAAATTACTGCTTATCCATTTTAATGTACAAAAAACCCTGTTCAATTTAATATTTTTTTTTACTTAAAAATCAAATGACAGCAATTGTCTAGGTCATTTTTGCCAAATCTAAATATAACATTTTTGTATTTTCTTTACAAAATGTGTTTAATTTTATTTCAAAAGTTTGATTTTAAAAGTGCATGAAGCATTATATAAAATTACACAATCTCAATTTATGCAAGAACCCATATGTGCCTAACTTTGAACAGATTTTTACAAACTAAACTAATGGCATGCCATTTGTTGATGCTGTCAGGTACTGAAAAAGTGTCTCACATTTTATGCATTTAAGAGTAAGAAAAACATGCTTATTTTTGCAGATCACTGGTTGGAGCCAATAAAGGTGAAATTGGCCACTTTTGTCCACTGGTTACTAAAAATACTTTTTTTATTGCTAATACACAGAAAATATCAGCAAAGTGCAGGGACATCATTGCAACTTCTTTCAGCCATGTTGACATTGTCACAGTATCATAATGCATATGTGAGGGAAGGTATAAAAATTGAGGAATTGAATTCATATGCGCTTACAAGCTTTGTTTAAATCAACACCGGTGTCCAGCACATGCCTATTCCTAGCTACTATTGCTAGTTCTCTTTTGTTTGAGCCTATTTCAGGGACATACGTTTTTGCTTCAGGTGAAAATTTCTGCTTTCTGCCAAACTGTGGGGATATAATGTGTAACTCATGTAGATAAGAACTGGACTTTGATAAAGGAGCAGGTAATACAACAACCGATACAGCCAAAACAGAATGAGCTTTAAAGATATTTTCAACTCAGTTGCATTGTGCAACATGTAGCACATAAATATTTGTATTGATCAAATATTAGCAACATAAAAAAGTAGTGAAAATAAACAAAACTTGTTTGACAGGTATTTAAACATATGATTTTACTTCGCTCGTGACAAAAGAAGTCTCACCATAGTCGGGGTCAGGGTGGACGGTTTTAAGACGGAGGTATTCCCTGAACAGAGACACAGAGGGGTCCTCTCCTTCAGGGGAGCCCTGACCCCCTCCAATGACTGGACCGTCCTTGTCAGGTAGCATGGTGCGATTTGCTTACTCCCTTAAAAACACGAAAGGTGTTTACGATAAACTGTGCCAGTATATAAGACAGAAGTGTCCAGTTATATCTCATATTTAGACACTGAACTCGGTTACATCTGGAAGCTGTCGGACCAGATGCCATACCTGTCTTCCGCGCTCAGTTCTCCTGGTAATGTCACGGCTAGCCTTGTGAAAGGTAACCTTCTGCAGCAGTGGCAGCTTCCTCCGAGCTGCTCATTAACTAGCTTAAGCCAAACTGTCGGCGCAAGAGGTCAAACAGAATACATGAGTATATTTATTTTACTTTTAAGGATTAGTTAAGATTACTCACTGACTGTACTCACCAGAGGCAGTGAACCCACAAACAGTAAACAGCCTGTGAGGGGATTTCACCTCTTCCTAAACAACACTTCGTTCTCTTAAAATGCCAAAAAAAACTAAAGTTTTGGAGTTTAAACTCATTTATATTGACATTAATACTCATAAATATTTTAAAGTAATTCTTCAAACACGGTATTTTCAAAAAAAAGAAACATAAAACACCCCTAATTTGGGCGATACCATTTCTCAACTGTGACGCAATCAAACACGCTTCGGCCAGTGTGGCAAGCCCATTTATCATTTAATAGTTGCAACGCATCCATCATATTCAACACTTGCATACATCTCTGAATATCATAGAGGTGATGTATTTAATTCAAAAAGTGAAACTAATATATAACCTAAATTAAGTTTTATTACATTATCAGAATATTATATAAAGATGGAAACCACACTGTTGGTAATCGCAACAAGTCATTGCCATATCAGCTGGTTATTTAGAGTTCTGTATGTAGCAACTACTGAACCATACACAAGTTTCTTACCACTGATGAGAGAAAGGATTTACTGTTGTTTAGTGGCCCAAATATCTCTTAGATGATTTTGCATTTAATTTGGAAATAAAGGTCACAGAGTGTGGAGGAAGAGTTGAGGGTTAATGGGCTATTATTCCTTTACACTTTAGCAGACATACAGGCTGATTGATCACTTCCATGCCCTGTTACATGGATGCACTTCTTATTGCGAAGGAATTGAGTTTAAAATCATGTAGTACATGATTAAACTTTTTTTAGTAGGCTGGCATTTTAAAAAAAATTAAAAATCTATTTCATTGATGGTAATATTCTGGAGTTAAGAGAAATCTCAGTTTTGGTTTTCATTTGCTCTACACCACTATGTTACCAGAAATACAAACAAAAAAATGATGAATCTATGTGTAATGAACCTCTCCATTTCACTTTTAACATTTGTTTTTTTTAACTAAATATGGAAAAGCTCAAATGAATAGGAAAGGTGACACTTGCCAGTGTATTTGACCAGAGACCAGCCCATACAAATTCCTAACTACTATTTCCAGGTTTCTAGTGTTTGAATCCATTTCAGGGACAAAACGTTTTCACTTCATGTGAAAATTTCAGTTTTGTTCCAAACTGTGACCATATAATGTGTAACTGATGTAGATAAGAACTGGACTTTAACTCTAACATCACATATTGATAATTAGATGTCACTCCTGGAAATGTTTCCCACCTTTACATGTTTTCTCCATTTGTGGATAACGACTCGCTTTGATTCTTCAGTCCTGAAGCCTTGAAAATGTGCTGCCCTTTCTGGACTAATAAATATAAACGATTTTCTCATCTATTCTAAATTTCTGTAAAGAGTCATAATGTGTTGCTTTTTCCAAGTCTTTCAGCCTACTTCATGCTATCAGACAGGTTCTATTTAAGTCAGACATGCTTGTGTGACTAGCTTCTCCTTGTTCGCCTGTCCAAAAATAAATCAGGTGAAATGCTTTTTACAGCACAAGTCCTGTCCAATCATTTCTCTGCAAAAACAATAGAAAACAGACTAGAAAACTAGCTTTCACTCACACCTGAAAATGAGTCTGCTTTTTCAGAATAATTTGTCATTAAAAAGGGGTTTTAATGACAGTTTTGTTCTGTTTTATTTCACTTTATATACATAACTTGAGTTTCAAAAGGCAAATATCTTCCAGTTTTAATGAGCGTACAACCTTTCCAGTTCATTATATACCAATCCTAATCCTACCCATGTATATTTCTGTATAAACAAGTTATAACACTTTTTTTCCCCTGTATTTTACAATACTTCTGTTTACCATTTAGGTTGTGCATTGAGATTTTCTATTTTTATAAGCAGGTGACATTCAAAGACCCATACAGGGGGGAAAAAAGCACATCTGAATATTGCAATAGTTTATTTATTCTTTTAATGTTTTAACATTTATTTAAACTTGTTCACAGCATTAAACATACTGGTCAAAACTGTTGAAAATGAATAGAAAATATCCCGCCTACTTTACCAATAAAATATGAAGCTGCTGAGTGGATTTCACAGATCAGAGCTAAAGTACACATATTAATACACATATTAATGGGAATAACAAATTAGCAGTAACAAAAAATAAACATTCTAATTTAGTTCTCTTTTTTTTATGTAAACAACAACAGTGCTAAGAGTGTAGCGATCCAAAGAATATGTCCCTTCCAGCTGAGTTCACACCATATAAAACACAAACAGCAGGAAGGCTTACAAAAAACCTTTAGTGTTTCTTAACATTTTGCATAAAGAACAACAATGCAGTTACTTTTTATTTCAAGAAGCTTCAATATATATTTTTTAAATATTTATTTGTTTTGCTTGATTGTCCACATTTGTTACGAATTTTATCAGCAATATCTAAATACCGTAGACAGTTTTTTTTTGTTAAAACTATTTTAATTTGTTAATTTCAATCATTTCGGCTTTCTTTAACCGATTTGATTATATCAGTTAGTCGAGAGTAGTGTTCATTTCTGACGTACTGTATGTCAGAGTACAACAAAATCTTTTAAATACGGGCAAGAGCAGCATTTACATATATACAGTAATCCAACTGCTAACATAGTAACATATAAGCAAACACGTGAAATGTCTTTAAAAGCAACCGGAGACAAGACACACATGTAAAACACCCAACTAAGTACGTTGCTAGTTTTATTATTTTCAAGAGTAAACTGACAAGCTGTGCTAAGCTGGTCTCATATTTCCAGGGCGATTTAACTTACAACCCATTACATTCATAACATTGACATCTGATATAATCTCCCAAATCCCCTGTGATGCCCCTTTTCTCTTTCTAAGGGTTGATAGGAAAAAGAAAGATCTTAAAACCTTTTGTCATCTCTAAAGCGTCGGATTTCCTTTTCCTTGCTCATCTTTTGTTCACATTTTTAAACACCTTCTCCTCCCTCTGCTATATATCTTGCTTGAGTTTGTCAAGGAATTTGATCAAACCTTGATGAAATTCGTGGGGTTTGTCCATGTAACAAGCATGCCGAGCTCCTTCTAATTTCAGCACCTCATGATTGGGAAGCTGGATGAGGTTCTTGTGAGACTGGGCACCCAGATTTGTGTCCAAGGCGCCAAAAACAATTAGAGTGGGAGTCTGCGAAGGAAAAAGGTAAAAGAAATCAAAGAGATTAGACAATATCTAGTATTTATAGCAGAAGCAGTGTTTTATGAAACCAGTGTGGTTCATATGAAGGGTGCTAATCTTTTGTGGGGGAGGCATGAGCATTTAGACAAAAACAGGAATTTATAAATGACCCTCCCTCAGTGGTGTGAACACCATGGCTGGCCAAGAACCTCAAAACCTTAAAGTCTAACAGAGAAACTGTTGAATTTTATAAAGGGAGAAATAATAGTTGATCTAGATGACCAGTTTTAGCTTTGTGAGCAGTTTTCAAATTAAACACCTTCTCATCAAGAGGTCTAACCTTAATTTTGGCACAGAATAAAATTTTAACAATTCTGAAAACATATGGCAACAAAAACCATGTGATTATGTCACCTATCATAATAAAAATGTGGGTAATACAGAAGCTACTAGATAAATAGTATCTTCTGTAGATATTTCCTCATGATGGGACCTATTATGGTCAGAATATAATAAGAAAGAAGACCAATCATAACAAGAATACAAAATATTTACTTTGTTTATTTCAACCCTTTTGGAGTAATGTTTTGTTATATTCCATTCACCTAATGCTTGGTTACTTTGCCCTGAAATGAAAATCTGCCAAAAAATTTTAAAAATATTTTTAAGCATTTTTTTTCTATCTTTACAAATAACTGATGGAACGATGCTTTATTTTCAAGTATACTTGTTGTATGTGATGCACAATGATCACTACAGTCACAAAGAGTGGTCCACTCACCTGGATTTTTTTGTAATGCTGAGCAGAGTAACTCCGGGTACCAACTGGTGCTATGGGGACGTAGCCACGCAGCTGAGCGCTGTTCTTCATGAAGAAAGGGATGGAGTAATGTCCACTCATGGAGGGACTCAGTAGGACAGCCGCCCTGACTCCCAGTGACTCCATGAACCGCGAGATGAGGTCTACCCGATTCTGCTCTGTCTTTAGAGCCTCGGAGTCTGGCGATTTCCCATAACCTTGATGGAAAGTTTATGGAAGATAATATTTATAGTTTAGAAAATGTAACCGGGAAATAAAAACTGTGTAAGAAATACATTCGTTCTGATACAGCCTCTAAGTATCGGCAGCATGGCACACTTCATAAATAAGCAAGGTTTTAATTACTTTTTCAAACAAGTTACAAAAAAATACCTGTTAAAATGTTAAATTGTTTCTGTGAACTGGAAGAACGATTGTAGCTAAGGTGAAAAAATACTTTCGACCACAAGAGGGCACTGTTATCAGAGGAAAAATATGCATTTCAAACCAATCACTGTACATCATTTTTACAATTACTGAAACCCTGCAGTAAATTTTAAAAAGAAAATGTTTGTATGGGTCCTTTTTTCTTTTGTTGTGCCAATACTATTCACTCGCTCAAAATATCTTCAGCAGTTTTCAATAAAACCCCTGAAAACATCGAGTTAATAGGGATGGCAACATTTTTAGATTAGTTTTAAAACAGAGTTTACAGCATTTAATATATTTTAAATATATATTTCAACAATAAATGTATTTTTTCTCATCATATCTTTACCATTACTACCAGGGAGGAATGCAAATGATCAATTAATGAGTTAATCTAAAGTTGATAGAGCTTATCGATCGACTAACAACTAACTGATAAGCAGCCATTTCTTTAAACCTGACTTTTCTCATTACAAGGGGGTCGACTGTCTTTCCGTAACATGAAAGGCTAATTTTTTTATATGCTGAATTTAGAAAAAGAAGCACATAAAATTTTCAAGGGGCAGCATTATGTAAAATCGACTTTTTTGATCTGTACATCCTTTTGTAATGTTATTCTCTCATTAAAATATATCTGGACTGTTTCTTTCATGCATTGTTTGAGAAATCCTTTACTTTCCTATGGGAAATATTCAGCTGTGCAAAACACCTGGGCGGCCTAGCACCACCTTCAACCTTCGGTTGAGAAGTTGACAGCTGCTCCGCCATGTAGCACAGCTGAGGGAGCGCTATTAGGGGGAAATTGAAGGAGCTTGTCGTCGAGTGTTTGTATTTCACAGAGGAACTGCATAAAGTACATCTTGCATCCCACACCGGACTCCATTTGGACCCATAGTTGGACCCATATGGTTACACTGTAGCCTCTGTCTATGCGTTACATGAATGGAATGACTCCGCCATCTTTAATTTTGAATCACTACAAGATGACCGGCGGCGCCCTCTTCTGGATGGCAGTCACACTAAAACACTGAAAGAAGGTCAGACGCTAATCGATTCCAACTAATTTCAGTCTAATAAAACAACATTCGACAATTGATCGTATGCCTATTAATTGTTTGCATTCCCGGTTACTAATATATTAAAATAAGCTTCAAGGTGTACCTGGCAGGTCCATAGCTAAGGCCTGATATCCATTAGCTGCTAGCACAGCCATGGTTCCCAGTTCTTCCCAGGTTTTGGACGTAAAAGCCTGGCCGTGCAGAAGGACCATCTGCAGCCTGAAAGGAGACATAAGTTCGTTACTCAAACAAATTTATGTTGGGGTTTATACTAAAATATAAGGAAGACAATCATATTGACGACAATCTGATCAAACAATAAATGCTAAGGAACAGTTTGCAGTTAAAAAGCGCTAAACTGGTTTTCCAAAAGTCTGCTCACTTTGGTAGTATCTGCTGCCCCTCCCGATCCACAGGTAAAGCTTCTCGGAAAAACAGTGGGGGGTCTCCGGGAAGCTGTCCAGTGCGAATGGATACATTGAGGATCGGTGGTCCGGCAGGACCAGCAACTCCTACCAGCCCGATTGTTCGAGCTTCGTTGGATGGCTCCATGTTGTCCTGGCGAATGGATGGCAGCAGCAGGTACAGCAGCAATGTGGCCAACAACATCAGGCCCAGCATAACGAGACGATTACGCAGGAAATTCATCTCGATATGATGAAAGATCTGGAGAAATTTGCACACGATGCACTGCGTCAGAAAGCCCTTTGAAAAAAAAATTCTGTTTTTTTTTATTATACACAAAATAATAAAGTAAATCCAGTTCTGCTTTAAACTTATGTTGTATAGTAGTTGTAAACAAAACATGTTCCTAACAAATGAAGCAATACATAAAAATGATATGATATATAGAGCAGCAGATAAATTGTTGAAAGGCATAATTCTCATGCACCCAAGCAGCTACTTGCAACCAGGATGTTGCACGCATGGCTAATGTGATGACAAATGCAATTTGATATACTTGTCAAATGTGTGGCTATCTGTCCCAACAGCTATAACTGGATTATGCAACAGGACTGTGATGCCAAACACAACCTGAAATCTACAAGTGAATAGCTGAAAAAGAATCAAAGTGGCCTAGTCAAAGTTCAGACATCAACATGTGTTAAACTGTGTGAGACAACCGTAAAAAAAATATGTACAGAAATTAATATCCAGAATTATCAAAGAGCAGAAGATGTGTCATAGATTTTTTGGGGTAAAAATATCTTCAAAGTGACATGTGGAGTAATGGAGTCAGACAGGAAACAACTACCTTCAGTTATTGCTATCTTACTTAGTTCACCCCTCTGAATAATAGGGTGAAGTTAGTAACATACCTGTACAGGTAGTCATGACTAAATACACAGCACTGTAACTTCAAGTGCTGTTTTTTCTTTATGATCACAAAGAAATATTTTGTAGCATTTTTAAAAAAAATAATATAGAAAAAAGAAACACAAACTGTCTGGTCACTTAAAAATGTAAAAAAAAATGTTGTTTTGCAGCAATGCAAATTTTAAAACTAGAGCACAGATTGTGAACATTGCATAGAAGTGAAAAGATGAGCTAAAGTAGAGTGCGTATAACAAACCCAGTATGGTACTCTGAGCCTTTTGGAGGTCAAGCAAATACACTAAATTTTGTCAATGGAAGTACAAGGCACTGTTCTATTCATTATTTACTGTGAGTACTGAGTGTGACAGCTTTATGTCATGAAAAAATATAACTTTAACTTGTTTTCTTCTACCTGAATTTGCTACTTTTTCATGATGTTAATTTCAACTCAGTTCTTATCTTATTCTTTAAAATATCAGAATTTTTCCAAATTTTTATTTCTTTTTAGGTTAGCTAATTTTTCAGAAATTAAACGAGATGTTATGATTCTGTGTTGCCTTATTTTCTTTTTGAAAACCCTCACCGAGTAATTTTTTGAACAGCTACTTTTTACTTCTACTGAAGTTATGCTACTCTTGAGCACGATGTTTTGGCTACTCTATCCAAGTCTGATTATACCTTCAAAGTGACATTCATCACTTTAAACATGGAGCTGATTTGTTCTTATTGCTCATCAGTCTACACTTCACCACATCAGCTGAGTCTGAGATGTAGAGGCGGCTTTCTATGTTAAACAGATGAATGAAACACCAGCGATAGATTACAACTAATCCTCCGGGACAAAGGATTTACAGTCTGTTTGACCGCAGTCTACACAATCAGTCGCAGATAATTAGCCAAATTGCACAAAGAAGCTAACAGTAGCTCTTTTGTTGTCAATATGCTCGACCATGAATGAGGCTTTTTGAAGAAAAGATACATACCAACACACAGGAGATAATTAAACCTTATGCGCTCAGAAATAAAAGCACCTGGCTCTCATCATGTCTTCTCCATGTCTGGCTGTTGCGGGAACTGTTTCTGACAGACTTGAGGTTGAAGGCTACTACTGCTTAAAGCTTTTTTTTATTATTATTATAGAAAAAAAATAAACATACATTAAATGTAATGTCAGAGCGTTACTTAACTGAGTCAGTAGCAAATATTATAAGCAACACATAAAAGTCAAGACTCGTAAATCTAAGATGTGCTGTTATATATTTACAAAGCTGTCGACCGTCTGTTGCTCGTCGGAACTTATTACGAGCTGCACAAAACAACTACTTCAGCCCTTTACGCAATTTCCTGCAGACGAACGCAAATTTATGTAAGAAATTAATCCAAATTTAGGTTACGGAAACTGTCACATGATTACAAAGCTTACATTATTACAAAATTTACAAAGAAATGTACAAAAATATATGAATATTTATGAATATATGAATTACGAAATATTCTATTCATAATATTCAATCCATTTCAATGTGTGCCAACTTTAGTTGCATTAATTAAAAACAATACAAAATATAGACCTCAATAAATAAAAATAAAAAAACATGATCACCATTGTTATTTTCTTAATACCTGCACCAGTAAATGAGATGTCATTCAGTGCTTGAGTGGCTGTTTGCCATATAGTTTATTTTTTAAGACTCTTACCGAGTCATTTTTTGGACCTGCCCCTTGTTTATTCATTTTCCTTATTCTTAACCATCTCTTCTATTTCACTAGATTTAAAACATTTGTTTCTTGGGATATGAAAAAGAATGCTACTTTATAAAATATGACCAGATATATTTGTAAAAAAAAAGAAAAGAAAAAAAAAAGAAGAAGAAGAAGAAGAAGAAGAAGAAGAAGAAGAAGAAGAAGAAGAAGAAGAAAAACATGGTCAGGTATCTTATGTTGCATCCCAATTATTAACATAATTAAAGAGTTTATTTTGAGTATTTCAATTTTAAGTTTGAAACTAAGGTAGTTTTGCAGGTTATGGCTCACACTTAATGAGAACTAAACAGTACACAAAATGAAGTCATGACTGTAATTTATAAATTACAATACAGAGCTAAGCATGATTGCTATATTTAACATAAAATATAGCTAAGAAAGCATAAAATATAGCTAAGAAAGCAATTTCTAGTTGTGTTAAGGAATTTCTAGTTGTGTTAAGGAACAAATCTGGAGTAAAACAAGAAAGTCCAGCTACACTGTTTCTGTAAGGATAAAAGAGGTTTAAGATCTCAAGATACTTACTATTCTGGTACAATATTTTATATTTTGTTTAAAGCTTCATGACAACTTAACGTTTCTAACAATACAGTACTTTTTAGAAGACATCCTGGGCTTTCCAGGGATGTGTCATGTGATAGGTTTGGATACTGGGAAGTCCCTTTTTTTCCGAAATCAAAATGATCTAAATGCCAGCAACCACATTTTATGGAAAGAGGGTAGACGAGTCAAATATTTAACTTCTTTTGTTATTTTTTGTCATGATAATTATTGTTATTCTTGTTAATTAAATACCAATAACAATATTTTGACAAGTGAAAACAATTTAATAATTTCTGTTTAGAAATAACAGACCTTTTATGAATGTCAGTTGTAGTGAACGTCAGGACCATTTCAGTGTATTTAACGACTCCACATTGTTGTAGGAGAAAGAAGTGAAGCAGGATTCTATACAAGATAGTAGAGGGAGATTCAGATCTGGAGTTGTCAGATGAAGATGAGGATAAGTATCAGACTCTGGTATCTGACTCTTCATCAGATCCAGGACAATCTGATGAAGAGACAGACTCATGGTGCGTTAACACCAAACGCGTTTTGAGCGTCAGGTCCATCTGGTTTACATTCACAGTCTATGTGGAACATCAAAAAAACGGTTCAAAATGCGCCATGCTAAACGCTCAGAACGCGCCTCCATAACCCTGATTGCGCCTCCACATAGACTTTAAATGTAAAAGAAATGTGCCTGATGTTCAAAACACTTTTGGTGTGAACACGCCATCAGAGCCAGAGATAGCAGGAAAGTCGCCATGCTAGGTGGGCCAGGATTAATTTGTATGTCTGTCTAGGGCCAGACATTTGCGATGGGAATGTCCATTTCTTGGTTATTGGTCATAAAGATCTACGCCACCCTCCATCACTTCTGGTTGTCGTACCTGGAAACAATTTTTTTCTTTGTTTGACCATCGATTGCAAATATTGTTTAGATCTTTCCCGTAAATTGTGGAGGCCATCACCACAGGTTTATCATCAAACCACTTTGTGACAGTCAGCTAAGATG